ATTTCTGAAGAAGGGTCTAGGCCCGAAACGTCACCCTTCCTGCTCCTCTGATGCTGCTTGGCCTGCTGTGTTCATCCAGCTCTACACCTTGTTATCTCCTTTCAGCCAGTAACTGGGATCATGTTATCCAATGGGTATCCTGAATTAGCAGAACACATTTGTAAATGAAGAATTCATTACTGAACAATAACACTGCTTGTAGAAAGAAACAAAATTTTCGGTGAGCAACATTTGAAGTTTATACCAGCGCTGATTTTGTTTTTTTTTTTCGGTGAACTATAAATTTGTCTCCGAGTCTTAAACAGACTTAAGTAGAGCAATGTTAAATATCGTTCTTTCTTTGAAAGGAAAAACCACATTTTTAAAGAAACCTCAACAACTTCCTTCCAAAATAAAAGTCCGGAGATCACTTTGAAGCAGAGTAACAGGATAATATCTGTGTGAAAGAATATTGATGTATATTTTTTTAGTTGCTGCTGCAGAGTTCCTTATATTATTGGAAATGCAGTATAGTGAAATAACACAACTGCTCGTTTCAGTGATATGCTCAATACCTCAATATTAAATATAGTACGTAAATATCTGGCTCTCATCCCTTTTGCCATTGAAACCCTCATTGCACAATGAAGGGAAAAGGTTCTTTCAGCCAGTACAGGTGTCTTTGTCACCTCATTCAACTCTTTAGATGCATTCCTCCCAAATCTCATCCACAACTCCCCATCTTCCACCTGTTCAACAAAATATCCTGTTCACTAATGCACGCTGTCCTTGTTGACCTCCAATGACTTGCAATCCTACAGCACAACGTCTCCAGAAATCCTCCACCTGTCTCCAAATCAGACTGTGGCCTCACTCCACCCAAATGCCTGCTTGCAGCTTCCATTTTTACAACTGCTCTTGTGGCTTGTGTAAGGGACAGCACTGACAAATTGCTAGCCAGTGAAAGTGAACAAGTATAAAATCGATTATCAACTGGAAACTCATGGAAGGTATTTGCGTGTACTGAGGAGGACTGCGATAAAGACCAAGAAGTTAATAAATTTGTAGGATGGATGTGTAATTGATAAACTATTTCAATGTAGACAAGTGTGATGTGATACATATTGGTGAGAGTAACATAATGGCTGTTTAAAAATGAGTAGCATGGTAAAGTCACAAAGTATTTTAAGGGGTCTATTCACATAATTAGAAATAGCAACACAGGGTTAAGCACAGGTTAATAAGGCTTTGAAAAAAAATGTGAAGCATGAAGGTTTGCTTCCAGAAGAGGGTCAAAACTGAAAGTACAGAGATATTGTTAAACTTATGTCAAACGTTTGTTAAGCCACAGGAAGAATAAGGTGAATATTTCAGGAGATTTCATGTTTAAAAAAGGAAATTGAGGCACTCCTTGGAGAAAGTGGGAATAAGAAATGACAAATACGATAGAACTGAGAAATTATAATGGGAAAGGCTGAACAGACTGGGGCTCTTCAGAAGAGAGGTGATCTGACGTGAGATTTTTGCGGTTATGGAATTTGAGAGGGCAAAGAAGATATTTTCGCTTATGGGAAAATCTGAAAATGATAAATTCTTATATCTTCTGATAAATCTGATTTGTCAGTAATAAATCCCATGAAGGATTTGGAAGAAACCTCTTTATGCAGAGAGTGGTTAGAATGTGGAACTTTGACAGTATTTGAGGTGAATAGCACAAGACAGTTGTAGAGGGAAGCAAAATAAAGTTTGAGGGAAAAAAAGGAGTGACAGAATACATACAACAAGTTAGATGATCTAGAGTGGGAGATTCATAAGCATTAATACTGACATGACTTAATTTGTAGATGGTAAACAGTGCAGTGTACATTTTGGTAGCGTGTACACCAACCTGGCCTTTGCTCTTTCTAACTCCTTAGGAGTTAGGGAGTTCTGACTTTGCCTTCCTGCCACTTTGTCTCACTACATCTTTACTCACCTTCAAAAATAACCAGATTTACCTCCCAAGTATACACTCCCTTTTTGATTCAGTCTAACCACTTATATGTGAAGTGATCTGGAACATTGTTACATTATAGTCCTGATGTTGTCCTTAATCTTTTGTGCAGCAAATGTGCTAAAATTTAAATCTAAAAGTCACAAAGTTTTGCAACTGCCTGAATTTTGACTTACATCTTTGTTATGGACTATTTCTCTTCAAAGTTATCCTGAGACAGTACAAGGGGGAAATGTGGGTATATATACCTTGATTGCAAATTGCCAATAGGCAAAAAACTGTTAATTTTTCAAAGGTACATGTGAAGTATTTAGATTATTAGTGCAGCTGTAATGTTATCTACTGTTTGAGAAACAAGCTGTTAAATCCTGGAAATACAGTATTGTAAATGAAGTTGTAACAAAGAATTTGAATTGTACTTACCACCCTTATGACATGGAGTAATGCACAGTGCATTTATTATTTTGGTGCAGAACTTGCGGATGCAATCAATCTGATGTAACTGGATACATTAAAATTCATTCAAACTATTCTTCGGTTGTAGTAAGTTAAGATTTTAAATTGTATTATTGGAACCAAGTCTCTTTTCTACAAATTCTAGATAAAGCCTATCTGCTGCTAAATTGGTCAGAAGAGATGAACTTGGATAAATCTCAGACTGGCCAGCAGGGCTAGAATGTGAAGTGCTTTAAGAGAACAATGTTGTGGTCACTGTACCTTCTGTGGATTCTGTACTCTCTTGGCTCTCTGTGGATTCTGTACTCTCTTGGCTCTCTGTGGTGTGTCTACATTTGCACTCTTGGAGGCTGCACTGTTTCACGAGGCTGCTATTCTTGGTTCCTGGTCTCATTGTAAAGTAAGACTCTCTCATTCTCTTCAGCACTGTTTATTTATGCTGGTATACATAACTGAATACTGCACTCCAGTACAGTGTCTTCTGTTCCATAATGTGCTTCTCACTACAGTGCTTTTCTCTGCTGCTGGCAGAATTGCATCACTGTTTACACATTTAGCAAATTCACATCCCATCAATATACATACTCAGCAAGTCAGCCAGCACCAATGGGGGGAAAAAAAACACAAATGGGTCAGTATTTCAGCCTGTTTACAAGGACTTATTTGCCTAATGGTTGTTTCTCCACAGTCCTGCTGAGCAACTCCAGTTTTCTTTTCCAGTTTTTTTAATAGCTGCAAGTGTTTCAATTCATCTCTAATATTGTGGGAATAAGGGCTATTGTCATGTAATGACCCTACCTCTGGTGCAGGAGACCCAGGTTTAAGTCCCACCTGTTCCAGAGGTATCCCCTAACATTCTTGAACAGGTTGATTTAAAAATATCTACTGCGGGAATGGCTACAGACTGAGATGGTCTAATGGCAAATAACACATGATGATGGTTCTTGTGTTGCCCTGTTGGTGAGGTAATGTCACCTTGACAGAAAACCAGTGAGGCTAGGTGAACGTTCTGTAGCCTTGACATTTATTGAGAACATTACTACAAAACCATTCTGACGTATGTGGAATAGAATTTCTATGGGAATTGTTCCCACACCCAGCCCATAACTTCATTGTAAATCTGAAATGAGAGAAATAGTTATTCATGCTGTTTATATTACAGTTGGAGATGGGAGAACTGATATTGAAATCATCTATGCAAGATGCAGGCTTGATGGACCCTTGGTCACAAAGACAATGGAATGAAAGGAGACGGAGTTATTGGTGAAACTAGAAATATAAGTTAATGTTCCACACTCTGCCAGCTTTATGGCTTCTTAGACCAAATTTCACTGCTGAATTATCAGGAATCTAATTTGACCAGATGTGCAAAGTGCATACTAGTCCTGATTTGTTCAAGTGTTGAGGGGCCAGACCAGCTTTCTTTTTAAAAACAAAAGGCTGCTCAGAAAAAGGTACATTTTTGCTTTTTAAATCCCCCTTAGTGTGTGGAGGTAATATAGGAGCATTCACATGCTCCTTTCAGCCTCACTAAAATTCTCTGGTTCACTGTTAGCCCAATCTCTCCTCCTGCAAAGAACTCCTTTCTCCACCCTGGAAACAAAGTCCAATCTGCTGCTCTGCTCAGTGTAGAGGCCAGCCCATTTACTAAGAGAGCTCATTTATTATCTGCACCTTGATGCTAAACTGGTTAGGATCAACCAAACTCTGCCAGTATTACAGCTTGTTTTGGGCCTGTCTCAAAAGCACCGATTGGATTTAATCCAATAGTGAGATTAAAACTCAGTTTAAGGCTACAGGATGTATTCCACGTTTTGTAGTGTGATAAAACCAGCAACAACCTTTTAGGTTAAGCCTCAAGTTTTGGCTATCGAGGCTCTATTTTGTTATTAACTTCCTAAAGTTTCAAACATCTGCAACTTATTGCATCACTTAGGTTTGTATTGTTTAATTATATACAGTCATTCATTTTCACACAGTAGCTCTGGAGGAGTACAAAGAGATGACAATGCATAATGGCTCAGTTAAAAAATTAAATATAATGGAACCACCATGTTTTACTGCAACCGATGAGTGACTTGCATGAGTCAGCTGTGTGAAACAAGGTCTTTGTGTTAGATATCTTCTGAACAGGTTGGTGAGAAATGTTATTACACGTGTCTCTGGAGCAGGTGGGTCTTGAATCCAGGACTCCTGGCTCAGAGGCATGGCCATCACCACTACAGTCTTCATGTTGAAAAAGGTCTGAATCATTTCCATCATATGGAAGAACTTGATTGCATTGAAGATGTTAAAGGCATTTCATTGCAGCCATGAGCTCCTCCAGACTCTGCTCCGTCTCTTGCACCATCTCCCCAATATTATCGGTGCCCTCCTCCTGCTTAGAGGACAGACAGTAAGTGAGAATTATTGTAAAGTTGAAATCATTCTCCTAGGTCAAACAGCTACAACAAGGGACAGGAGCCAAAAAACTTACAAGGAGCTCGATGCAGGCAAAACTGCAGAGGGCACAGTAACAGTAAATACAAAACGTGTCTTAAATGAAGAAACATTTACCTTTTGAAAATGTTTTATTCTGAGGAATTTAGTTATACATTTTTAAAAATGTTATCCTTTTGTGTGTTATGATGGTGGCTTGTGTTGTTACAGTGCTAACATTTAGACGTACCTTATCAGGCACAGTGTATGCGACTGTGATTCCCACGGGAAGGTCAGGCACAGGGCCAGACGCAGCTTTCAGTTCTTCCTCTGATATCTCAGAAACTAGCTCGATCCCTGCACAAATTAAGAAGTAGGCCACGATCAAATCATTCTGGATACCAGCCAAGATGATTCATGAAATGAGATACAGTGAAGGGGCACTGGAAAAGCAAAATTATTTATGGATCTCCAGCTAATTTCTAAACATACGTGAGAAAATCTCCTTCTCCTCAAACCAGAAACCAGAGCCATTCCAGAACAGCAGGTAGTTGTTATGGTGCTCTGAGCTGGTGCTGGTACAATGGACCAAACACTCTCTCCCTGTACCATCTACTTTGGGAGGAGGAAACACGGACGCAGAATTACACAATGTAGTATTCCACTATCAGCTGCCAAAACATTCATTAAGGGTGAGGATAGTCTGGTGGTAATGTACACAGGTGTAAAATCCCAGCATAGCAGCTAGTGGCTTTTAATTTAAATTAATAAAACCTAGAATTGAAAACCAGTCTCAGTAAAGATGATTGTCATCGACATGTAAAAACCCCTCAGTTGGGTAGTTGTCTTTTCCTGAGGATGGGAGATTTCAAGACTAGGGGGCATGTTTTTCAGGTGAGAGGAGAGATTTAAAAAAAAAAGACATTGCCCCAATTTGTTTTTTTTTTTTTTTTTTACAGAGGGTGGTTTGTGTGTGGAATGAACTTCCTGAGGAAGTGGTGGATGTGGGTACAATTACAACATTCAAAAGACATTTTTATAAATACGTGAATAGGAAAGATTTGGAGGGGCATGGGCCAGTTACAGTCAGGAGGGACTAGTTTAGGTTGGGATTATGTTCAGCATGGACTGGGGTTAGACCGAAGGGTCTGTTTCCGTGCTGTATGACTATGTCCTTTGCTGTAGGTCTGGAGTCACACATAGCCCAGGCACATTCAACAATGTGTTGGATTCTTAACTGCCCTCTGAAATTGCTGAGCAAGCTACTCAGTCCAAGGGCAATTAGGAACAGGTAATAAATGCTGACCTAGCTAGGGACAATCACAATCTAAGGAAGAATATACATTAAAAGTTTCAGCCAAGAAATCGTATTCTAGCATAGGTTCACACCGCGCAGAAAAGGCCCTTCAGCCCATTGAGTCTGTATTGCCATAACTACCACGAAAAGTGCGCTAATCCCAATTTCCTGCATTTGTCTAGCATCCTTACCATGGTAAGTGGATCTGATCGACTGGTCAAATGGGATCCAGTAGATTACACCAAGCATAAGTGATTATTGCTAATCATAATTGCACAATAAAACATGCAGAGAGATGCTTTGATGCATGCAAGGTCAGCATATTTATAAAGATTCATATGGTGAGGGAGACAGACTGAGATGGAAAAATGGAGGGACAGTGACTGCATCAGGGAAGAGAGAGAAATTAGGGGTGACAGCACACGTGAGAAATGGCAAGGTAAAAGGTGAGTAGGAAACAGAAGTAGCATGTGATGAATCACTGCTGTGGAGGTCGGGGAAGAGGAAGGGGTGGGAGAGAGAGAGAGAAAGGGGTTGGGGGGAAACAGGGAAAGAGACAGAAGAGGGAGAATCAGTGCCAGATGGAGGAACGAGCAGGTAATATGGATGTCCTAAGGAATATAACACACTTACATCTCCACAAAAGCCTGGCTAAGTTCTCAGCTTGCTCAAACCCCTACTCCTTCATGACCATTTCTAGAGATTTGTCCAGTGAAAACTCCCCTAGCTATTAAATGATAACTATGGGGATCAAGAGTTGGGAGAAGTTTAAGGAAGATGATTGTCAGAGGGGAAAAGAAAAGATGGGAAGTTTTCAAATGTGGTTGAGATTATCACAAATTGAAGGACAATCCAGAAAAATCCACAGCATAATGGCTGTGACTAGAGAGAGAGACTCCAAGTGAGGATACAGCTAGAGTCAGAGCTAGGATAGAGAGAGGCCCCCATTGCAATACCTCAGGGGAAAAGGGGGTGAACCAGTAGCTTCATTATGGTGTACAAGTACTGCCTGACATGGGACAGGATTCAAGCAATTGGGTATAAGTGGTTCGAGAGAGAAAGGCGGAGGATGTGATCCACTGCTGTGTCCGTTCGCTCTCCAGCCAATAGCCGGCCCACTGTGCTCTGGCTCAGCTACAATCAGATCTGGGCCTTCTGCACAACCAAAGGTCGACACCTCTTTAGCTGGGACGAGAGCATTCTTGCACTTTCATCATCCTCTACGCAGGAACTATCTGGACTCTTGAGCGATTTTTGACAATAATGAAATGTTTATATTAATAAAATCAGCTGTACTCAATCAGATCTTAGAATCACAGGATCCCAACAGTCCAGATAGAGCCCACTGAGTCCACACCAACCCTCTGAAGAAAATCCCACCCAGACAACCCTATCCCTGTAAACCTACATTTCGCATGGCTAAGCCACCTAGCCTGCACATCTTTGGACTATAGGAGGGAACTGGAGAAAACCACAGGGAGAAAGCCTGTATGGAGTTTTCACAGTCACCCGAGGGTGGAACAGAACCCAGGTTCCTGGCGCTGTGAGGCAGCAGTGCTAACACTGAGCCACCGCGCTGCCCCAAGTTACCCCAGTCTTACCCCAGTTGTTCTCCTCATGTACAATCTCTTCATCCTCTTCTAGTAATTGTTGCTTTGGAAGTGTTGCTTCTTTCTTCTGTTGGGGAGACAGAAGTGGACATCACTTATTCACCTTCCACTTATTCAGCTTATACATGCAGAAGACCACTTTTTCACCATGGGTGGACAAGGGAGGAAAGAAATAAAGAAGACATTTTCTTTCAGCTCTGGTGCTCGAGTTTAACTTAAACCTAGATTGACAGGGCTGACAGTGTCTGTTCTTGTTGATTGGGAGGTTTGTGTGTGAAGATAATTTTAAGGGTGACCACACTGCAGATCCCAGGAGGCACAACAGAAAATGCTACAATCACATGACTGAGGATGGAGGGGCAAGGGGGAGGCTGTTCTCTCTGAAGTGGGGCCTGAGATACATTCTTAGACTGAGCAGAGAGACCCTCCTTTTAAGTCTTATCTCACCTCTGCAGGGACTGAAAATGAAGATCAGGCACTATTTCCCCACCGATATTTCTCCTCTTAGTGAGAGAAATAAACCATCCATCGGGATGAAAGGTGTATAATTATTTCATATGCACACAACTCCCATTTCTGGAATTTGCACTTCAAAATAGAGGCAGATATACGTTGATTACTTTAGTGAGGGATCTTTTCAAACCTTAAAGGTCAAATTGTCCCTCTTGAACAATGACTAAATCCAGCATTTTGTCATCACACACGTGACTGCAGATCCCTGTGCTGTTAATAGAAGGATGTTTATACTGCTGGGCTTGTGACAGGTTGAATAAACAGTGAAGGCCATTTGCCTAGTTTTCAGTTCGGTACAGAAGACTCCAGGATTGAGTTTAGAAGCAAGTTTAGTTTTCTGTTCTAGTAGTGGTTCAGTAAACCTGTTACCAGGGTCTAGGCCCGAAACGTCAGCCTTCCTGCTCCTCTGATGCTGCTTGGCCTGCTGTGTTCATCCAGCTCTACACCTTGTTATCTCAGTAGAAGGGCTCAGTCTGTAAAGCTTCCAAACTGGAGGAGAGTTTGGGTTAGAGTTTGGTAGCTTATTGGAACAAAATAAGTTTTCAGTGCTCGGATCTGAGAGAAGTCCGTATCAGCAAACTTGGGAAGGATTCCCTGAATTATGTCTACAGTCCATGAAAATGAAACTAGAGAGAGTCAGGTAAGTAGGAACTTAAGAGTTAAGACAGGGTGTAATTTCTCTGGACTTGAATCTCTAGTGGATTGGAACATAAGAACAGGAGTAGGCCATTCAGTAAGATATGCCTGCCTTGGGCCCATATCCCTTGATGAATAAAAGTTCGTCTATCTCCAGTTTAAATTTAACAACTAAGTTATCATTGACTGCCATCTGTATTCAGAAGCAAGTTGAAACATTGGTTTGCAGTGTGTTTTAAGATCTTTCTAACTGTCTTCTAGCTTGGTCTTTTTAAAAAAAAATCTTGTGTGTAATCACCACATTAACTAACCAAAAAAGGTATAATCTATGCAGCCAGGTTTCATTCTGGGATCTGGCTTGTCCAGTATTACCATCTGCTGGGCTCATAGCAGCTGAAAGAGCTAGTTCCTTCGTATGAACTGCAGTTCTCTCAGGTAAAGAAGTGAAGGACTGTAATTAACTACCAGCATTCACCATAGAATCAAAGAATCCCTTCAATTTGGAAACAGGCTATTTGGCCGCATCCATCTACCTTATCCCTATAACTCTACAATTCCCAAGGCCAACCCACCTAGCCTGCACATCTTTGGACTGTTGGAGGAAACCATCGCAGACACAGGGAGAATGTGCAAACTCCACACAGTCAGGCATTCCAGGGTCCCTGGCGCTGTGAGGCAGCAGTGCTAACCATCGAGCCACCAGTCTTCTAAATGGTTGACCCAGAAGAAGACAAGCAGCTCGAGAGTTGGTAAACCTTTCATCTCCTTGGCCGCATGACCAAGTGCAAGGACTAATCGAAAAGAAAATAAACTGTGGGCATAAAGAGCGGGAATCGAAGTCTGTGAACAGGGCACACCTTCGAGACGGACTACTGCTTAAACTGAAGGACCACCTTATACTCTTCCTGTCGGAGCCGGCAGCTTTGATCATCGCAGTTAGGATTTGGTCTCATTGCCATTGTCGGAAAGAAGTCTTGCATTGCGTTATAACCCAAGTAGTAACTCACAGAACCAAAGCCTAAAAGATACCTGAAAAGGAAAACAAAGCGCTGAGTTACTCATTAAACAATTCATTTTAGACTTGCTGACGTTGAGTCAGTTTCAGCCGTGTTTGTTGCCTGAAACTAGTGCAGCCCTCAGAAATTCCAGCAAACACTTGTGGGCACCATTCTGGACACTAGAAAAGACACAGCAAACACACACTGTTTACACACCATCCCCCACACACAGCAACTTAAAGTTTGACTTACTTCAGGACATTTTGTACAAGCAGTCCAGCTACGACGCCCATGGTCGTGGGTAGACTGGCCGCGCACACCCCTTCACGTTTCAGCGTTTTTTCATCAACATTCGCAGCCACCACGAGTGGGGGGGCACACTGCAACGGGGCACACATAACAAGCAACATCACTACATATCCTGCTTGGGTAAAGAAAACCTTCAACCAGTTGAAAACTTGTTCAATGTTTTTTGGGATGGAGGGGATAGAGTTTAATTCTGCAAAGTAACTTAACCTTTAACCAGCTTTCCCATCTACTGCAAGACTAATATTGTTTCAAGTCAGTGAATTAGTTACACATAAGGCGGATGGATTTTGTTTTATTCTGGATAGACCATTTTGGTGATTAAAATCAAACAGTTACTCATTTGGCACGTCTTGGAGTAGTGAGGTTTAATTACCAGCACACTCCTCCCATCAAGAATGGTAACATCATCGACTTCAGAAAGAAAGGTGGAGAACGCGCCCCCCCATCTACATCAATGGAGCTGATGTTGAGAAGGTGGAAAGCACCAAGTTCCTCAGAGTGACAATAACCAACAACCTGTCCTGGGCTTCCCACATAGATACGACAGTCAAGAAGGCACAACAACGCCTCTCCTTCCTCAGGCGGCTCAGGAAATTTGGCATGTCCATAAGGTCCCTCACCAACTTCTACAGATGCGCCATTGAAAGCATACTGTCCGGGTGCATAACGGCCTGGTACAGCAACTGCTCTGCCCAGGACTGTAAGAAACTACAGAAGTGGGTGTGCACTGCCCAGACCATCATGGAAGCCAACCTTCCATCCAAACACACTATTTACACGGCTCACTGCCACAGAAAGGCTGCCAACATCAAAGACCCATTGCACCCCGGTAATGCTCTCCTACAAACTCTTCTGTCAGGCAGAGGATACAGAAGCCTAAACACATGCACCATCAGCTTCAGGAACATCTTCTTCCTGGCTGCTATTAGACTGAATGGACTCTGTAGCCTCAAATAATGCTGATCTTGCTAACGTTGATCTCGCCTAGTGCACGCCCTGTGCAACGTAACCCGTATGCCACTGTATAAGTCTTTTTGATCGGTACATCCTTGCTTACTGCTGTACTGCTCGTAAACAAGTCTTTTCACTGTACTTTGGTACACATGGCAATAAAATCAAAACACATGGATCTCCATTTTTACTCTGCCCAGATCCCTCCTGCTTCTGACACCTCCATCAAAACACCTCTCAACCTTTGCTCTTACAGGCTGAACAGTGCCACCCTCTCCAGTCTATCCACTGAACTGAAGCTTCCCAACCCTCAAACCATTCCTTTGCATGGAACCAGTTTCTGCATTCTCACTCACACCTTCACACCCTTCCGAAAGTGTGGCGTTTAGAACTAGACACTTCCAAAATATCTACTGTCTCAGAAAAAACTGGGAAGTCTCAATGACTGTGATCAATATGGTATCACATGAACACTCTTCGAACTTGAACAGGTGAGTTTAACAGTTCCAGCAAGGTGTGTTAACCTTCACGTTTCTCTCTGTTTGTCATGTAGGTGAGCTTCGATATGAATCTCTCTCAGCTGTGGTTCTCCATAAAATTACCATGATCAAAAACAGATCTGCATACACCCTAACCAAATATAACTTGGTGCTTGTGTAAGCATGAAATAATTATACATAGTAAAATACAGAGTAGGCCATTGGGCCCAGCTCCACCATTCAAGGTGAATTTGGCTGATCGTTCAACTCAGCCCCCCACTTTCTTCCTATACCATTTGATCCCTTTAGCATTAAGAACTATACGTAACTCCTTCTTGAAAACATTCAATGTTTTGACCTCAACAGTTTCCTGCATCAGAGAATTCCACAGGCTCACCACTCTCTGCGCGAAGACATCTCTCCTTATCTCAGTAAGGATATGGGGTGGGCCATTAAGGATTGTGAATCCCTGGTCATTAGGAGCATCCATCCCATGTTTACGCAGTCAAATAAAGACAGAATTTTAGGAGGTTTCTTTGAGATCCCGCCTCATTTTCCTCCTTTAGCTTTGCAAAGGATTATCTGCAACATTTGGAAACAGAAACACAACAAACAGCACTGGACCTACTGCAAAACAGGCCGTCTCTCCCGGGATAAGGAACTGGATGTGCCCAGACACTGCGTTCTCACTGACCCCGGACTCCATCCACACCTGAGCAAGTTCATTGCACGCCTGTAATCCAACAAGCACATGTCAAAGATCGACACCAGGAGAACAGGCACGTCATTCCAAAACCCCCTCCCCAAAACAAAAGCCTCAATTTATTTGAGAACTGAAAAAAGAGCAGTTACGTTCACATTAGTGACTCTGAATCGCATAAAGATTGAAGCGAACTCACTGTGTTGATTGCCATACGGGCTTCAAAGTTGTCCACACAGCTCAGTATCAAGTCCACAGGCTTTCCTTCCTGCAACCCACCGTTCCTAATGAAAGCCAGAATCACATGAGATGGGTTAACCCATTGGAGAAGCGTTCAGGCTGGAAACAACCACAATATAAAGGCACGCCACTCAGGGGTGTATATGGATGGAAAGTGGGGAATACTCTGCAAATGACCAGGCAACATGCTCGGAATATTAAAGAAAACTTATGGCACCCATGTCCAGGTTACCCCACTCAAAACCCACAGGAGGGCATGTGGTGGTGCAGCAGGTAGCATTCCCTAACTCTGGGCCCAAAGTTCCAGGTTCAACTCCAAAACTCAGGCAAAAGGAGAAAGTGGGAGCAGGGTATTGACTTGGACGATAAACCACATTGTACTGAATGGTGCAGCAGGGTCGTTTGGCTACATGGCCTATTTCTGCTCCTGTTTTCTTTGATTTTTCTGTGTCTATGTAAAATTGTTTTGTGGTTTTACAGGCACCAAGTTACATTTAGGTTACAGTCTGTGAAGATCTGTTTTTGATCACGATTACTTTATGAATATAATGTTACCACTTTGGTGCCATCTTAAGTATTCTGTACCTAAGTGTCTGTTACAGGCTTGCGCAGAGAATCACAAATAAGTTCAACATTAGAACAAAGAATAAAGAAGTTTTCTTTTTAAAAAAGCCTGCAATTTTTAATCTATACACCAAGTCCTCGGGACCTGCCTGGACACTCTGCTTCCACTCCAGCCTCAATAAAGGCTTTTCTATTCTATTCTTTTCTAAAAACTGTCATTGGGAGAGATTCACATTGAAGCTCACCTACATGATAAACAGGGAGACATGAAGGTTAACACACCTTCCTGCAACTATTAAACCTATTTGTTCACGTTCGAAGGGTGTTCATGTGATACCACATTGATCACAGTCATTGGGACATCACCATTTTTGCAGACTGTTCCTGTTTGTTGATTTGATGGTCCTCTTGATCAGCCAGCACACTCCTGGTCCCACATGAGACAGTTAATAAAAAGTTTGCCCCCCTGAGTAAGTACAGGAGAGACAAAGTCTGAATCATTCCTGAATAATTTAACAATGGCTCATCCGCATGAAGTGGTTCTTATTCTTTTAAGGGGTGTGGGTGTCGCTGGCTGGGCTCATCCCTAATTGCCCTGGAGAAGGTGGTGGTGAACCACAATGTTCCACCCACAACACTTTTGGGAAGGGAGTGCCACGATCCCCTCTCATTGAGAGGGGGCAGTTGTGGATCAGCTGGCAGCCAATGCCTCTGGAAGAGTGCACAAAACTCCAGCCTGACACAACTGAGGGTGTGCTGCACTGCCAGAGGTACTGCCTTTTGGGTGAGACGTTACATAGAGGCCCCGTTTACTCTCTGGGGTAGGTGTGAAAGATCCCACAGCTTTGAAGAGGAGCTGGGAGTTATCCCCCAGGGTTCTGGCCAATATTTATCCCTTGGTCAACACTGCAACGACAGATTCTCACATCCGTACTTGTGGGAGCTTGCTGTGTGCAAATCGGCTGCCACATCTCTTATGTTATGCCTGGCGTAGCACTTCAAAAAATTCTCTCTCTGCCTCTAAAGTGCTTTGGGATACCCTGGGACGCAAAAAATATATGATACAAATTCAGGTTCTTTGGTTTATTGTGCAGGATAGTTATGTAGAAACCACAACAGGCAAGCATAGCCCTTTGACTCATCTCATCTGTGTTGGGTATTTATACTCCCATGAGCGGTGGGTCCTAATCCTGTTTACTCGTCCTTCATTCATTTATCTTCTCTTAAATGCTGACACACAGTCTCCAACTCCAATCAATCACACCCCAGTAGTGCACCCTGTGGACTCTCAAACCCCTCTCTGGGTAAAAACGTTACTCCTGCCCACAGCCAGGCTACGTGGCACTCAAATGTGCCAGTCTTTTCCAGCTTTGGCAATCATCGAGGAGAGCATGCGTCAGCCAGCAATCTTGGGCAGGGCTGCTGAGGGCGAAGGCGAAGGGGAGGGATTTTCTGACTGTTCTTAATTGCCCTTCAGCCGACTAGAAGCTGGTCAGGCTACTTCAGAAGAATCAACCACATTGCTGTCACTAGTCTGGAGTCTGGAGTCACGCATAGGCCAGACTGGTTAAGAATGTTTGTGAACCAGACAGGTTTTTTTTAAATGACAATTGACAATACATTCATGGTCACTGTCACTAAGACTTGCTTTCAATTCCAGATTTATTAATTAAAATCTAATGTCCACCAGGGACTGTGGGGGGATTTGAACCCCTGTCTCCGTAGCGTTAATCTGGGTCTCCAGATTACTTTTGCAGTCACTTTATCACTACTTCTTTTGGTCAGGATTTTGGATTAACGATGCAGAGGCGTGAACTCAAATGCCATTGACACAAGTTCTCAACTGAACATTTCTTCAAACAAAAAAAAAAATCTGGTCCATAATGGACTGGCAGTAGAAAGGGACCCCGGAAATTTCCGCACTATTGTAAAATACACAATGGGACACTCATATCTTTCAGGGATACGTACTGTGCACCCCTAATCCGTTTGGCCTACTTACGATTCTAGTTTTATCATCCCTGGGATAAATACACCAAGCTACGGGAGTGAACACTGGAGTTAGAAAGTAACTGGGCGTTTGCCTTCTAAGAGCCACCACAGGCGATGGGCTGAATGGCTTCCTTGTGTTTTGCAAGGATCCGAAGGAAAAAGCATTTTTAAGTGGTATTTGGAAAACGAGGGAGCATGATTCACACTTGGCAGCTCAGAACTAACCTGATGCGATCCATAAAATGCTGAAAGTTGTCCATCGTAGTGACATTGTAGTTGTGTGTTTCAAACTGAACATCAGGGTTAATGTTCCTGAAAACACAAGGAACAGGTCATTTCCATTCAGCTCCTGATGGACTGTCAAACTAACCACATTAGCAATATTAATAATGATACTATCGGATATAATATGTTGGAAACACAAGGTACTTTAAAGTATTGAGGGTCAGATGATTAAAGATAGAGTTGATGAACATCCGCTATGCCACATGTCATGACTGATCTGAGTGTAATCTGTACACCCACCTCCCTAGATATTCTTGACTGACAAAGGTTCTATCTACCTCTGCCTTAAAATGATTCAATAGGATGAGATGCTCTTCGGAAGGATGGTGTGGACTCGATGGGCTGAATGGCCTGCTTCCACACTGTGGGGATTCTATGACTCTGCCTTCACCCCTCTTTTTGTGTAGAGTGTTGCACAGGTTCATTCCAACAGTAACTAATGGCAGAGAACCAGAAAAATTCTGGAAATTCTCAAGAAGGTAGGGACAAAAATGAAAAGCAGATAAACTAACATTTCAGATGTGCTTCCTTTGTCAGAAGGCACTATGGGTGAATGCAGCTCTCACAATGTTGAATGTATCAATCCAACTGGAGAAATGTGGCTGCAGGTATATGTGTCAGACACATTCATAATACACATAGCTTTCTTCACCCTTGCTCATCTGCTGTCATGATTTAGGGCACAGCCAGATAAAACTGTTGCTCCGATAATAGTAACGAACACAGAAAATGTCAGAAATATCAAAAAGGTCAGACAACATCTGTGCAGAGAACAGAGTGAACAATACAGGTCAGTGACCATCATCAGCTTTTAACTTGTAAGCTCCGAATGCTCGTTACCAACAAAGCCACTGGTGCGAGAGCAAGAAGCAGCTTTTCCATTACCACATTCATGCAAACATGCACGGATAGAGCAAAATGGACTTTTCCACCGCATGGGCGCACAGCTGACTTCCCATCTCACAAGGAGAGGGAAGAACACAAGTTCCTTGGTGGTGGTCAGGATCACTTTACCTCAGTGTGTGTTTAGCTGCTTCCACTTTACTGAGGCCGGCTTGGTGAGGCTGAAAGAAAAGTCGGTTCATATTTGCCAGTTCGACCTTGTCATAGTCAAAGAGTAAAAGCTGCAAGTTAGAAAAGAAAAAGGAAACATCACTCTGGATCATCTGGTCATCCGCTTCATTTCACCAACAACTGAACTTCACAGAAACGTTATGGCACAGAAGGCCATTCCACCCATCATGGGGGTATCAGCTGTCTAAAGGGACATTATGACTTGGTGCCAATCTCCTGCCTTTTCCACATAATCTTGTTTTTATTGAAACAATCTAATGCTCTCGACTGTCCCATCGAACTTGCTTCCATCACATTTCAAGACATTGCATTCCAGGCCCTAACTACTGAAAAAGGTTTCTCCTCACTCCACCCTTGCTTCTGTTACAGGTCACTTTAAATCAGAGCCCTTTTACGAGCAGGAACAGTTTCTCCCCATCTAGTTCTTGATTGGTAGTTCTTTTAACAACCAAAAAGGTATTACAAGAAATTGGGGAAAAGCAGGTATATGGAGTTATGTCACAGAATAGCACCATCTGCCAAAAGATTAAATAGACTCTTCCTGTTTATACATCTAACAGTGTAACATATTCCTACATAATTGTAGTGCTAAACAATATCTTCTGCTGTGCTGCTTCAGAACATCCACACTGTTAATGTCTTCAGGAAGCGTCTATTTCTTAAACCCTTGGACAATGTGATATGATGAGTATGAAATAAAGAAACTCTTGCGTCTGTTTCAATTGGATTTATGATGTCAAATTTAAAAGTGACGCACAATTTGTGCAGAATGGTTTCGCCGTTTATTTGGTCCATAGAATGAAGGTCAAAAAGGAAGCAGAGAGTTTGTATTACCTTACCAATGCCACATCTTGTCAACATTTCAGCTGTCACACTTCCAACCCCACCGACACCCACAACTGCCACTGCAAACTCCCGAATTTTCTGTTTATAAAGTTAGAACGAGAAAAAAAAAGTCAGTCTTATCATGACTGAACGACCCAACAAACACACAGTCACTGGTTATTTACAAGTTCAGCTCACCTCATAATCTGTAACAATTCCCATCCGTTTGAGAGCCATCAGCCGACTAAGTAAAATAGAAAGAGTTTTTGAAGTTAGAATGAAATATAGAATGTGAACTAAATGTAATCAATGCTCAACAATGTCACAAGGCTTTGGCGAGATCACATCTTGGGTCCTGTGCAAATGTTTGCTTCCCCTATTAAAGGAAAGACATACTGGCACTGCAACCAGTGTAGCAAAGGTTCATTAGATTGTCTCCTGGCATGAGAGGGCTGTCCCATGTTGAGAGACTGAGAATGATAGGCAATCTGAGTGAAACATTATTGATTCTGGTGGGGTTTGACAGGTGTGATGAAGTACATCAACATTTGGGAATTCAGATTTTAATGGAGAAGTAAAATAGATATATGGTTTCAGTGGTGTGAAGGCATTTCTTTAAAACAAAAGGTCAGAAAGTCATCTGAAACAGGGAACTAAAGATATCACATGACTTAGGTTAAGCACCTAGCAGAATGCCTGTGAAGTTAATTGAACTGTTTAGCTTGAACATTAAGTGAGATTTTATGACATACAGAAAAACAGACCAAGGGCTACAAGTAGTCTGAGTTCAGAATCAGGTTTCAGTTCAGAAGAACAGTTTCACCTTAGGAGGAGAGCAGGTTAGTTTGTGAAGTCTGCAAGTTATGAGAATTTATGTAGAAGTTTAAAAGCCAACATCTGATCTGAAAAGAGGGTTAAATCATCAGAACTGAAAAAGAATCCAGACACCCACAACTAGGAATAAATGTTTGTTTTCAGCTTTGCTGGCCCAGTCAGTTAAGAAGGAAATTAAAGCATTAGGATAATGGTGATACATTACAGGGATTGAGCATCTGTAAAGATGACGCAAGGAGCAAGGTTAAATCTTTCTTTTTACTGGTGGTGTTTAAGAGCTTTCTAAACCTTACATAAAAAAAACTTTGTTTTTCTTTAGTATGTTCTTCTGTTAAACAACACTGACAGCCTCGTGTGAATATGTTCTGTAACTAACCACCACACTAACCAAACTTCAAAAATAAAATTTACGATTTACAAAGTCAAGCTTCACTCTGGGACTTGACTTGTCCAGTAATATTGTCAGCTGGGTTTAGAAGTTAGGGAGACATGGAGAGGGTGTTTCCCTGTCTGGGGAATCCAGAAAACAGGGGTACAGTGTCTCAGTCCTAACTGATCAACCCATTACCCTTAGATGATGAGAAGACTCTTCCCTCTGATGGCTGTGCTTTCTCTTCTGCGGAATATATTTAAGACGGGAGATATAGACATTTAGTCCCAAATCCAGGAATGAGCGCAGACGTGGAAGTGGAGAGGTACAGAAGATCATCCATGATCGTTTTTAATGGTACAGCAGGTTTGAGCAACCAAATGGTCTGTCCTGCCCCTCATTTGTAAGTACTTACCAAATCTCACAATAATAGGGATCCAAATATCTTGGAGGGCTCCCAATGTAATTTCTCAAAGATATAACTGGCTCTTAGCATAGATTTTGTTCATTGTAGAGAAAAACTGAAATACCTGGGAATACTGGTTCAAAACCATGTGTTGCAAGGTCAGATGAATGAGGAAGATAAAGGATTACAGTTGTGAGGAGGCAGTAGAATGGCAGTAAGTGAGCAGCTTGTGAGCCAAATGGCCTTTTGTGCTGCAAAAATTCTGTGATTCTGAGCCATATTATCAGGAAAGGCCATTCAAGTTTGTTTGGTTCATTTGTAGCACGAAGGCAGTATTGTCCATCTCAAATTGCCCTCAAGGAGGGGAGCAGGATCAATCTTAGAACTGAATAGCTTGCTCAGCCACCTCAGAGGGCTGGAGAAGGCTTATTGCACCTGAAGGCCTTATCTGGATCGTAAACATTCCTACATTGCATTGATTGTGGCCTGGTTAACTTCAGAACAATGAAATTGCTTTGCACATCAATACAAGCTAATAAGGCACAATATTACATGCTTGATCTGGTGACCTGAGAACATTCTGATGAAGGGTCTAGGCCCGAAACGTCAGCCTTTCTGCTCGGCCTGCTGTGTTCATCCAGCCCTGCACAATGTCTCCATTTGCACAGCTTGTGTACTCAATTAGCAGCCAGTTTTGGATAAACATTGACCTCTGACCTTTGGCCAAAATAAGCATCCAGTTTTCCAGGTCTCAGCAGCTAAAGGTGCGGCTGCCAATAGAGGCTCAAAGGAAGTCAGGATAGGGGTGCAGAGTGAGCGAAACAGAGCAGAGACCTGGATTTTCAGAACAAATGAAGTTAAGAGGGAGAAAGAGACGTTGGGCCATGGACGGAAAATAAGCATGAGAATGTAAAACAAAAAAAAGGCGGGGAGCCAGTGTGGGCCAGCAATGGATTAGGGGCGCAGCTTTCTCAAGTCTTTCGCCATCCTACCTAAGTGCTAAACTTCACATTTTCCCACATTATATTCCATTTGCCAAGTTTTTACCTTGCTACATCCCTCCATAGACTTGGTGCGTCGTCCTTACCACTTGTCTTCCCACCCATTCATGTCATCCACAAACTTGGCAACAGTACATTCAGTTTCCTCAACAAAGTCATTAATGTTATGTTGGGCCCAGCACTGATCCACCTTGTGGCCCTCCACTAGTTTCAGGCTGACATCCAGAAAACGTTCTCCTTTATCCCAACTCTGTTTTCTTTTAGTTAGCCAATTTTCACTCATGCTAATTACTACTCCCTTGAGCTCTTATTAAATAACCTAACGTGTGGTACCTTATTAAACACCTTCTGAAAATCTAAATATATCACATCCACCGTTTCCCCTTGATCCATACTCCCTGTTGCCTACTCAGAGAATGCTCATAAATTTATCATCAGGTATAATTTTTCCATGCTGACTCTGCTTGATTATATTATGGATTTCTAAATGCGCTTATGGTTCATTATTAATAATAATGAACTCTAACATTTTCCCCAATAACTGATGTTGAGCTAACTGGCCTTTAGTTGCCCTTTTTTGACTCCCTTCCTTTCAAAGTAACACATATATACATTCTCACACTCTCTCTCACTCCCTCACACTACTCCACTCACTAACACTCATTCTCACTGTCACTCTCACACACCCATTCACACTCACCGACTCTTGCACACAGACACCCGTTCACACTCTCTCACTCACAAATATCAAACATCCGCAGCCAAAGGGATGATGTTTTGTTGTGGAATAAATAAAATGAACCAATTCCTGACAAAAATGGGACAGCACAGTGGCTCAGTGGTTACCACTGCTGCCTCACAGCACCAGGGACCTGGGTTCAATTCCACCCTCGGGTGACTGTGTGGAGTTTGCACATTCTCTCTGTGTCTGTGAGGGTTTCCTCCCATAGTCCAAAGAAGTGCAGGCTAGGTGGATTGGCCATGCTAAATTGCCCGTAGTGTTCAGGGATGTGTAGATTAGGTGGGTTACAGGGGATGGATCTGGGTGGGATACTCTGGGGATCAGTGTGGACTTGTTGGGCCAAAGGGCCTGTTTCCACACTGTAGGGATTCTACGAAAAAAAGTGTTAGATGAGTTCAAGTTTACACAAGATGGGGGGCCTGGCCAACTTATTGGTAAAATTATAATGCAAATTTATAAGAAAGCTTGCACATACCAACATTGCAACAAGTGCAATTTTTTTTTTGTGTTTTATGAAGTGTCAAACTGCAAGAGGCACACTGAAACTGAGAATGACTAAGCACCATATGGGAACTAACAACTCATGGTTAGTTCATTGCAGAAATATTAACACGTAACGGGACAGTAAGAGGAGGTGGTGAAAGTCTTTTCAACCAGGGTGCATGAGACGTGCAGCCAAGGGGGAGTGCAGCAAGCGCCAGCATCACCTGTAAGGGTTGGAATCGACCACCTCCGCGCTCATCTTCTCTATCTTCCGGCGCCGACACGACTGCTCCCCCGAGCCGGCTTTTTCGGCCCTTTCCGCCGCCAGCTCGTCTTCAAGAGCTCGGATTTTCGCCTGCAGCTCCGGTATTGTGGCCATGGCAGGATGGGATCGGTTCGTTTCAGTCTAAGGGAAGAGGAAGAGAAATGGAACGCCACGTCTCAGTCCCGCGGTCCGGCCCGAACGTCGTGACATCGGAGGAACGCAACGTCACAAAGGATCGAACGTGGCGTAACAAAAGCCGGGCGGAATGCCGCGCTGATTGGTCGAGACTCCAATCCCCAACATTGTAGCGATTTCTCAGTGACTGGCTTCCCATTGATAAAAACACACGCCGGCTGGTCACCCCTGTAAGTAGTCATCTTCCGGCCACAAAGGACCCTTGTGTGGTAGTGCCCCTACCTCTGAGCCAGGAGGCCCAGCTTCACGCTGGTATCTGCTCCAGAGGTGTGTCGTAACGCATCCGAATAGGTTCATTAGAAAAAAAATCTCTCCCCAGCCACAAACTGTCCTTCAAATATATATAAATATCTGAATTAAAAACAAAGTGCTGGAAATGTGTACCGTATCAAAAAGACCGTCGGGTAGCATCTGTGGAGAGAGAAACAGTTAATGTTTTGAGTTTAAGATCAATCTATTGAATGACGGAGCAGACTTGAAGGGCCGAGTGGCCTGCACTTGTTACTTTAATCACAGCAAAATATTGTAGATGCTGAAAATCAGAAACAAATACAGAGAATGCTGGAGAAAGTCAGCAACTATAACAGGATCTACGGACAGAATTAATATTTTGAGTCTGATATGACTCAAATCTTCTGAAGAAGTCATACTGGACTTAGAAGTGAACTCTGTTTCTCTCTCCGTAGAATGCTGCCAGACCGATTGAATTTCTACAACATTTTTTGTGTTTGTACTGTTGTACCTTGTTTGTATAAGTCCAACATGACTCTCCTAAGAAACATTTTCAGTAGAAACATTAGCTGTTTCTCCACAAATGATGCCGGATCTGAGTTTCTCCAGCATTTTTTTGTTTCTAGTATAAACGTTTGCATCTTTTCAAATAAACGTGCCATTTTCTCTTCTGTTACCTTTTTGAGAGACCTCCACAGCAGAAGGGATATTTTCTTTTGGTTCTGTGTTCCCATCCAACCTATGTATCTGACAATACGGCAACTATAAAGTTCTCGCCTTTGTTTTCAAATTTTTCCATGGCCTCCCATAATCTCCAGCTCCCTCGTAGATCCCTCTGCTCCTTCTTTCCTGGCCTCTTGAGCACATCACATTTCGATTGGGCAATGGTGCAGCATTGTGTCTTCCAGGGCCTGGGCCCTTAGCTATGCAATAACCTCCTACACTGCTCGATGGCTCACTCTCCTCTGCTAAGATGATCCTTAAAATATACATCTTGGACTGAGCTTTTACGATATCTATCTTAACACCACCTTACACAGCACAGTGTCAAATTTTGTTTTCTAAAAGGTCCTGTGAAGCAACTTGAGCTATTTTGTTACATTAAACATCAAGACAGGAGGGGTAAACTGATTCCCTTGTGCCATTCCTCAACTGACCACAGGAAATGTGAAGATATGCATATGACTATATAGCTCTGTATCAGAAACAAGTCAGCCAAATTTCTTAAGTAACAAATAAAGAACAAATATGTTGCACATAAAATGTATTCAAGCAAGGTTAGAACACGCAAAACAATCTACGATACGTATACAACTTATATTCTAACATCCAGAATTAACATGAGGTAAATATAAGTAATTGATTAACTGTGATCAAACACTTCACAGAACACATCAAATAGCAATTGCAGTCAACAGATCTCAGCAAACTCACCTAGCTCAACAAATCACATTAAACCTTCACATTCTCATTTAAAAAATTTTTAAAGCAAGCATGAACTGCTTTGATGACGCCTCAGGTCCTGGTAGTTAAATCTCTTTTCCTTGATCCTTGACATTGCTCTGCCACATCTACTCACAGGCATAATTCCAACATATTTTCTCACAGGCAGTTTGCTGCACCAAACTAGCAAAGCGTCTGGGTTTCTCCGAACTCCAGTCTTTCTTCAGTGCACCAGATTTGTAGGCTTCCTTTGCCCTTATTCTCAGCTGTACTATAACTCTCCTTGAGTCTCCAGGAACTTAGTGGGAAGCAATCAAAACAAACATTAAAGATGAGATGGGTGTGTGTTTCTTCTTCCAGAATGTGGATGACAATGTGGAAGACTTGCACAAAAAGCAGGACAAATCCAACCCGGCCAATTACCGCCCCATCAGCCTACTCTCGATCATCAGTAAAGTGATGGAAGGTGTCATTAACAGTGCTATCAAGCAGCACCTGCTCAGAAATAACCTGCTCAGTGACGCTCAGTTTAGGTTCCACCAGGGCCACTCAGCTCCTGACCTCATTACAGCCTTGGTTCAAACATGAACAAAAGAGCTGAATTCCAGAGGTCAGATGAGATTGACAGCCCTTGACATCAAGGCTGCATTCAACTGACTGTGGCATCAAGGAGCCCTTGCAAAACTGGAATCAGTGGATATCAGGGGGCAAACCTGACAGGTGGTCATACCTGACAGATAGGAAAATGGTTGTGATTGTTGAAGGTCAGTCATCTCAGCTCCAGGACATCTCTGCAGGAGTTCCTTAGGGTAATGTCCTAGGCTGAACCATCTTCGGCTACTTCATCAATGACCTTCCCTCCCATCATAAGGTCAGAGGTGGGGATGTTCGCCGATGATTGCACAATGTTCAGCACCATTCGCAACTTCTCAGATACTGAAACAGTGCATGTTCAAGTGCAACAAGATCTGGAACAATATCGAGGCTTGGGCTGACCAGTGGGAAGTGACATTCGTGCCACACAAATGCCAGGCTACGACCATCACCAATAAGAGACAATCTAGCCATCACTCCTTGACATTCAATGGTGTTACCATCACTGAATCCCCCACTATCAACATCCTGGGGGTTACCATTGACCAGAAACACAACTGGACTCACAAATAAACACAGTGGCTACAAGAGCAGGTCAGAAGCTGGGAATACTGTGGCAAGTAACACACTTCCAGACTCCCCAAAGCCTGTCCACCATCTACAAGACACAAGTCAAGAGTCACTTGCCTGGATGAGTGCAGCCCCAACAACACTCAAGAAGTTTGACACCATCCAGGACAAAGCAGCCCACTTGATTGGCACTGCATCCACAAGCATCCACTCCCTCCACCACCGACACTCAGTAGCAGCAGTGTGTACTATCTACAAGATGCACTGCAGAAACTCACCAAAGATGCTTAGACAGCACCTTCCAAACCCATAACAACTTCCATCTAGAAGGACAAGGGCAGCAGATATATGGGAACACCTCCACCATCATGTTCCCCTCCAAGCCACTCACCATTCTGACTTGGAAATATATTGCCATTCCTTCACTATCGTTGGGTCAATATCCTGAAATCCCCTTCCTAATGACATTGTGGGTCAACCTATAGCAGGAGGACCGCAGCGGTTCACAAAGGCAGCTCACCACCACCTTCTAAAGGGCAACTAGGGATAGGCAATAAATGTTGGCTAGCCAGCGACGCCCATATCCCACAAATGAACACATTTTAAAAAAGAATAAATAATGTACACAGAGAGAGAGCTTTGTGATCAGCAGCTGGAATGAAGAAGAAAGCTCAGAAAGGTCATCACAGCCTGACATTTTGAGTGTCAGCAAATCCTATTGCATTAGATTGTATGACTTGAAGCTCACAGACAGCACATCCTGCCAATGGTTCCTGTCCTCTATAATGAGGGTCTTAGATGACATAATACGGGAAAGTCAAAAATGTAACTAATATTGGAACACTATGTTCTGTGAATGTTACAATCCCCCACCTATTTTCCTGTTAGCTGCAGCCACCTTCAGAACACACAGAAAACTGCATTTCATCACAAGATCTCATATTTATATGGCTCTTTTGAGATCATGAAACATCACAGGGCACTGTGTAAATACAGGTTGTTATTGCATCTCATCATTTGTAAATAAGTTTCTTGAAAGTTAAAAAAAAGTGCTGGATTATCGACATAAAAGCAGAATATAGTATACTGGATATATATATATAGTACACTGGGTTTGTTTTCCTTGGAGCAGAGGAGGGTGGAGTGGGTGGGGTCTGAATTATAAGAGCCATAGACAGAATAGATTGTGAGAATCTCTTCCCCATGGCAGATGAGTCTAAGACCAGAGTGCATGAGTTTAACGTGAGGAGTGTGTAGTTTAGAGGAGATGTGAGGAAATTTTCTTTCACCCAGAGGGTGGTAGAAATATGGAACGGGCTGCCTGAGGGGGTAGAGGAGGCAAATACTATTGCAATATTTAAGAAGCATCTGGATGATCTTAAAGTGCCAGGGCATAGAGGGCTGTAGATCAAGTGCAGGCAAATGGGATGAGTGTCGTTTTGTGTTTGTTGTTTGGTATAGGCATGGTGGGCCAAAGGGCCTGTTTCTATGCTGGATTCTATGAGCGAAGCCCATTGGTTAGCATTTTTAGAAATCTGTGCTGGTGATGCCAATTTGTATTTGCCTTTTACGGTATTGTGTTTCTTTAAAGTTTGAATACCCACTTTCACAAAGACCCCCTTCAAGATCAAACATACTGTACCTTAAACTGTAAACTGTGCAGTCTGTAATTTTATTCTCAATTTAACAGTTCTGAAAAACTTTACTGAGCTTGCGCCTGGAGTATTATGCACAATTTCAGTCCCCTTACTTGAAGACAGATGTAGTTGTATTGGAGGCAGTTCCGAGGAGGTTCACTAGATTGATTGCAGAGATGAAAGGTTTGTCTTATGAAGAGAGATTGAGCAGTTTAGGTCTGTACTCTCTGGAGTTTAGAAGAATGATGCGGGATCTAATTGAGTTATATAAGATGCTGAAGGAGATTGACAAAGTAGACGGAGAGAGGACGTTAAACAGAAAGAGAAATTGCTAGAGAAACTCAGCAGGTTTGGCAGCATCCGTGGACAGAAGGCAGAGTTAATGGTTCAGGTCCAGAGACACATCCTCAGAAAAGATTTGCAGCATCTGCAGTTCCTTGTTTTTTTCTGTAGTGAGGATGTTTCCCCATGTGGGTCAGTCTGGAAAAAGAAGTCAGAGTTTTAGAATGAGGGTGGCTGATTTAAGACAGAGATGAGGAGGAATTACTTTTCTCAAAGCCATGAATCTGTGAAATTCACTCCCCCAGAGTACGGTGGATACTGGGACATTGAGTAAATTTAAGGAGGAGAGAGACAGAATTTTAATTAGTAACAGGTTGAAGGGAAATGGAGAGCAGCAGGAGAGTAGAGTTGTGCCTGAGTTGAGATTTTTTTATTTCAAAAATATACTTTGTTCATAAAAATATCTTTGTGTGTATATATACACATAGTCACCAATGCAGTTTTGTTCTGTAGAGGCATATCAGGGAAACAAACAAACAAACATTTGAGATAACAAGGTGTCAGCTTTCCTGCTTGGCCTGCTGTGTTCATCCAGCTCTACACCTTGTTGCCCCAAGTTCTTACGTTTTTTTAAACTCCAAGAGGTTTCTTATTTCCTGTCTTACGGGTTCCCTCTAGTGGGATCTTTGAAAATGAAACAGTAAGACTGGCTGAAATCCCTGTCTTTACCCCCCACTGTGGCTGACACGACTCCAGTCCGGCAGAACCACAGCTTTGACGAAGAGGCAGTGGAGAGAGTTCTTTCTGCGCGGATCCCAGAGTTTCCACAAGAGCCGCAGCAACCTTTTACCGTCAGACAGTACAGGTAACACTCACTTAAAACCCCCGGGGTATGAATTCACAGGCCGACACTTACCATTTAATTGCTGTGTGTTGCCTGAATTTGCAACGGGCTGGAGTGAAGAACGCAGGAGTGATCTGTTCTTCGATGAATGAGAGATCCCGGGCTGTCTCTGAGACTCCGGGGAGGTGAGGGGTCCTCCAGCCTCAGAAGCTACAGAACCAACACAGGTGCGATTTGGGGAATCTGTGTGCAAAACACTCATTGTCCCCTGAACTGCACGCAGCGCTGTTGCAAATGCTGGATGTTTCAGAAGTCGGAGGCACAATATTTCAATGTAATAAAACCTAGGACTGGTATTTTCCTAACCACCAAATTCCCTGGCTATGTCTCCCCCTGGCCAGGATAGGCAAGCAGGGGAAGGATAAAACAACATATTGCTTCAACTCATTCAACTATTTACAAAGCAGAAAAGTAGGGTCTAGACCCGAAACGTCAGCCTTCCTGCTCCTCTGATGCTGCTTGGCCTGCTGTGTTCATCCAGCTCTACACCTTGTTATATCAGATTCTCCAGCATCGGCAGTTCCTACTATCTCAGAAATGTAACAGGGCTTGGCCAACATTGGAGACTTGGTCATGTGACACCTGGTCACATGACAAGCAGGCCTTTAGAGATGAGAACTAGTCACATTAATGGTTTGCGGGAAGGTCAATAGAACTTTTTAAACACAAGTTCTTTGTTTTTCAATTCTATCCCTAGATTAGTGAATCCCAGTGCTAAACTTTGTTTTTAAAAGGCCTTATTAGTTTGTGTCACAGAGGTTCCCTGATTCACAAATTCTTGTACTTAGAACAAATACTATTAACTTTGAAGAATCTGATGTGAACGTCCTCAATAAAAACTGAAAGAACTGCGGATGCTGTAAATCAGGAACAAAAACAGAAGTTGCTGGAAAAGCTCAGCAGGTCTGGCAGCATCTGTGAAGGAAAAAGCAGAGTTAATGTTTCGGATCCGGTGACCCTTCCTCAGAACGTTCTCTCCTACTTGTGGCCAGATTTTATACTGTACTGTATTGTATTCCATACAATCAATTTACAAACGTACTCAGGAACCGAACCTGTTTTGTAATCTGGGGAATGTCTGCAGCGACTTATTATCTCACCCAGAGGGAACAACCTCTGTACTGGTCATACTGGAGCACTGTTCTGATGCATTGATGTAGTGTCTTTTATGTAGTAAGTTCTCCATATTCCATAGGAGTATTATCAGACAAAGTTAACCAAGCTTCCACAATGTACTGCAACACTTTATTTATTGCCACTTCACTGATTTGACATTAATTCAAATTTCAATTGTCCTGCAACAGGTTTGACACTATTGTGTTGCTGCCAAGTGTGAGAGTCTAGGAGGAGATGAAGTTTAATTGCTAGTGACAGCTCAGGAGCAGGCTTTTCACCGCAGTGTTTTGAGTTATGTTGATCTATAATACGTAATGTCAATAATTATGGAATGAAGCCTCTAGCAGATTGTGATGGAAAGCTGGAGCAGTTGCGCAGAGCCTGTCTGCAGGGAAAGATGCCTTTGTGAGGAAGAGAGCTCACGGAGAGAGGGAAAGACAGTCAAATGATTTCCTCACCAAGATATGAACTACACACATACTTTGTTTTCCTAGCTTAGTGTTATTTTCCCAATATATTTGTAATGACCTGATGGAATAAAATAATCCTGCTTCATGATCTTTGGGCCATCTGTGTACTGAAAACTTTTGTTACAATTATATACCGAATGTTGTAATGCTGTTTTATTGCTGGTTTGCTTTTGTTGACATCTAAGATAGGTGATAGTGGAAAATACAGGAATGCCCTGTTCTAGACAGTGTGAAGAGAGCAGGCTATATGGATATTCTTGGTTCAGCATTTGATGTCAAACGAACTGAGCTTTACTGATGCAATCATGGTTGGAGATTCTACTGCATGTTTCCTAAATAGTGTTAAACAACCAACTTCAAAATGATCAGTAATATGTTTTTAAAACAAGTAAAACATAAGGTGGTGTTCTAGCCGGCTTTTCCCACACTCTTTCATACAAACAGTTTCCACATCCTTTGAAACAACTGCAAAGATAATCAGGGGCTAGTGAACTCCCAGATAATAAGCTCTGTATTTAATGGCAGATATGTGCAAATGCCCCTCCATGCTGTCAGGTGTTACCCTGTAGAAGCACGCTAGCCTCGGAATCAGAAAGTTGCAGGTTCAAGTGGCAAAATTCCTGGGAATTGTCCCGGAAATGACCAGACATCTGAAATCGGAGAATTTGGAGTTACCAAAGATTTAGCAATTACCCAGGCAAAGTTACCAAATTATAAACATCATCCAGCTCCTGGGCATCTATTAAACTGAACACTCAACTCACCCTTGATACCCCATTGTAACACCCTCACTGACTCTGCTGTAATTGACCTGGCCCCTTGACCTACGTTTATCTGTCACCCTACTGCCTTCTGCCCCATTCCCTTGTGCACCCACACTTACCTTACATAGTTACTGCTTCTCAGTAGTTGTTGACGTGGCTTTTGAACATTTAAGCTGGAGGATATGGCCTGATGGCTGCTGTGGGAAAGGGTACAGTTTCTACTGTTCCTCAGTGCTGCTTGTTGTGATATTTCCTGCACTGGTCTCCACAGGTTTGTAAAGGAGGCTAAAAGTTGCATTTCTGACCCTGATTGGAAAATCTGGGATGTTATCTGGTTCCAAATCATTGCTGGTTGTGGAGTCTTGCTGTGCATAAATTGGCTGTCTGTTTTCTGCATTGCATGTCAGAAGTGCTTCATTGGCTGTACAGCATTTTGAGGCATTGCTATGTAAACACATTCTTTTGCCTCAAAGGAATGGTTCATTGAAAACAGACAATCAATCGTTCAGTCAGATTGACTGGCAGAACTTCAAATTGTGAAATTTGAACAATTTCTTCCTGAACTCATCGCACTTTCATCAGATCAATGGTGTGGCCATTGGGTACCTGCATATGTCCCAGTTATGCCTGTCTCGTTATTTCTTGTTCCAATTCCACTCAGGTTCCACCCTGCAACTCTTTTTCTAGTTCATTGATGATATTATCGATGCTGCTTCCCTCACTTGTCTGGAATTGGAAAATGTATCAATTTCGCTTTCAATAGCTAGCTGCTCTCACCTTCCCCTTGTCTATCCCTCCCCTTCCTCAACATCTGTTTCCATTTCTGGGCATAGGCTGGCCACCAATATCCACTATAAACCCATCGACTCGTAGAGTTTTCTGCTCGGGGACAGTGCAGCCTTCAGAACTTGATATCGCATTCTAATTTTAGGGCATGAGCTCCTACTTCCATGTCCTTTCCCCACCCTCGTACCCCAGACCTTGTCATCACAAACTGCTTTCAGCACAGCCAACCCATTTTCACTCATTCATTCATTTTTTATTTATTTGTTAATGGGATGAGGGCATCGCTGGCTAGGCAGCATTTATTGCCCATCCCTTTTTGCCCAGAGAGCAGTTCAGAGTCAACGACATTGCTGTGGGTCTGGAGTCACATGTAGGCCAGACCAGGTAAGGATGGCAGATTTCCTTCCCTAAAGGACATTAGTGAACCAGGTGGGTTTTTCCGACAATCGACAATGGATTCACGGTCATCGTTAGATTCTTAATTCCAGTTATTTTTAATTGAATCCAAATTTCACCATCTGCTGTGGCGGGATTCGAACCCAGGCCCCCCAGAACATTAGCTGGGTCTCTGGATTAACAGTCTAGCGATAATACCACTAGGCCATCACCTCCCCCATGGTCCCCATTATCAGCTTTCCTCCTTCCCAGGCTTATTAATAACCATTCTTTTGTTTGCCTGTCCTTCTCTCTCCCGAGCTCTGTTTTCATCTATCCTCTCACTGCTTTATACCCTCCACCCCTTCCCATCTTCAGTATATATTCCACCTTTTCCTAGGTACTGCGGTTCAGTGTCACTAGACCTGAAATATGGACTCTACTTTCTCTCCATAGATGCTGCCAGACCTGCTGAGTTTCTTCAGTAATTTTTGGTTTTTGTCTGAAATAATCAGACATTGTTTAAGTACTTTGACAATTGGAGACAACAGAGAGATACATTTCATTGTCAAAAATTAATTGTCACACCCCTTTCCGTACTGCTGTAGTTCTTTTGTTAAAAACTCCAGAGTGGTGTAAAGGAAACATCCCTAATATTAGTTCCTCTTATGTTCTGTGCTAGATGGGGACAGTCCAACCCAACATTCCATTTGCAGAAAGGAGACAAAGAGTATGTACTGAGGAAGAGACCCCCCGGGACGCTTCTGAAAGGAGCACATCAGGTACAGTAATCAAGAGTAAAGGAAAAGCTGGCTGTTGAATGTCACAGCCTTCTGGATGGAACGTCCAGCGTTGCTTTGCAGTGTGATCATTAAAAAAGGTACTGATATTACTTACAAGTCTTGTCACAGGGAACTCAAGTATTGATGTTAACTCTGTTTTAAGACAATGCAAGTGACTATACTCTGAGAAAGAGAAAAAAAACAAGGGTGGCATTACTCATTGGTACCCTAGTGCCAACAATGGCAGGCCACTGGTTGGCATCAGCCATTCCTTCTTTATCAGCCACAGTTCAGTTGGCAGCAGTTTTAAGGCTGAGTCAGAAATTTGAGAGTCAGGCCCTGCCCCAGAGTTTGAGTAGAAAGTCCCAAGCGACTCTCAGTGTAGTACATTGAACAGGGTAGTCTGGGGCAATATTTATCCTTCAATCACTGGCACTCAAAAAAATTCTCCCAGTTGACACTTTGCTGTTTGTGGGAGATTGCTGTGTGCAAATTGGCTGCCAACTTTCCTACATTATAACAGTGACAACACCTCCAAAGTACTTGGTCTTATTTGGCAGGTTATCCTAAAATGAAAGACTTGCATTCATAAAGCTTCTTTGACAACCACCACACAGCCCCTTTACAGCCAATGTAGTTCTTTTCAATTCAACTCATATTTGATGCAGAGTGATGTTATTTAGCTATTCTCACTGGAGTTCAGAAGAGTGAGGTTCTCACACAAACTGTGATGATACAATGGCTTTAAGGGGTGTATTTTGTCTAGTTTTTTTTAAGAAGGAAGGTTGAGACAGAGGTACTGATTGTTCTACTCAGAGCCAATAAGGTAAACAGCTTGTAAGGCCTTGGGGATTAAAAAAAAATTGGAACAATAGAAGCAGCCTGAATGGGTTAGGTCAAGCTCCTCCAGAACCAGGACTTTAAGTTTTAGTTTTTCAGTAGAACTTGCTGGGTTCTTAAAGCTGGGCTTGGAAGCTGCAGTACATCTCTCCCTGCCACTTACTCTGAGTTTTCTCCTAATGTTTTTCCTCCTGGACTGGAGAATTGCATGTGAGACAATCTATTTTATGAATTTGCCTTTGCCAAGGGTGTGTGTAAGGGATGTTACTATATTGGAACAGATACTGTGTAGTAGTTAAATAATCTATTGTTCTATTAAATTGTCCGAGAGTTAAGTTATTCCAATTCTTTCTTTTGTTGTATTTAACTATAGTGTCTGAATAAAGTGCATTTTGCTTCGAGACTGGTAGTTTTACCAAACAAATTGCATTCAGAATGCAACGCCTGACACTTGCCTTTAAAATAAGAAAATTTAGGCTAACTTCTTCATATATTTTGAGGGGGTTTGTTCTGGTCCATAACAAAACCTGTACAATTCTAATGGGACTAGACAGGGTAAACATAGGAAGGATGTTCTCGATGACAGGGGAGTCCAGAACCAGGGGTCATAGTTTAAGAAAATGGTGCAGGCCATTTAGGACTGAGACGAGGAGAAAGGTCTTCACTCAGAGATTGGTGAGCCTGTGGAATTCAGCAAGTGGCTGAGGCTAAAATATTGAACGTTTAAGAAAGAAGTCAATATAGTTCTTAGGGCTAAAGGGATGAAAGGGTAATGGGTTGAATGATCAGCCATAATCATATTTAGTGGTGGAGCAGGCTTGAAGGGCTGAATGGCCTACTCCTGTTTTTATATGAACTAACTGTTTCTCTCTAATGGAGAGAAAGGCCTATGGTCTCTCATGGATATGGGTAATTACCTACTTACTAATGATGTAACCAATGCACTTTCTATGGTATGATCTGCCTGTACTGCACATAAAACAAAACTTTTCACTGTACCTAGGTACTTGTGACAATAATAAATCAATTCAAGTAAAGAATGACTAAATAAAGTTGCTTCAGTAGGAGGGAAGGAGAAATACCCAGAGACTGTTTTTGTTTCTTTTCTTCAGGTGGGTAGAGAATATCAGGTGCAAAAGGCATTATTTGAGGTTGGGTTTCCTGTACCGAAGCCATTGATGTTCGTAGATGACCATTCCATTGCTGGCACTGACTTCTATGTGATGGAGTGTGTGCAGGTACGTGGGAACAGATGTATGTTATGTGCATCTATGAAAAATCTTTTACAGTCCAGCAGATGTATAAATAATTTAAGTTGTAGTATGCTTTTTAATTCCAGTGTCTTTTGTCTGCGCCCACAGTGGGATAAGCAGAGTGAATGGTCTCTGAACAATTCCTTTCCCAATTCTGACACTGCCAAGGAGATTTGCCAGACAGAAACTAGGGATGACAGACTTCCGTAATGTGGGGAGTCGGGATAAACTGACATTTTTACTCTTGGACCAGAGAAGCTGAAAGGAAAATTGAATGCTTGAAGGGTTTTGAAAGCGAACCTAGAACAGTACAGCACAAGAAAAGGCCCTTCGGCCCACAATGTCTGTGCTGACCATGATGCCATTCTAATCCCATCTGTCTGCACGTGGTCCCTCTGATTCAGAGTTCATGATCAGGGCTTCTGGAATCATGACTTGGCCACTGTTTCGGCAAGACAGGTGTCCCTGTCCATTGTTAGGTAAAGTTAAGCCTAAAGTTGAGAGGCCCAGGACATTTTGCAGAACTGAGCAGGAAGTTACAAGGGGGATGCAGACTGTTTATGCAAATGAGCAAAACTGTAGATAGAGAGAGAAACTGTTTTCACTGGAGACATGTCACTAAATTGGCAAAGGAGCTGGGGTTTGAGGTGGAGGAAGACGCAAAATGTTTTTGTGTAGTGAGTTGTTACTCTGCCTGAAATAATGGCAAAGCAAATTCAATTATAAGACCATAAGATATAGGAGCAGAATTAGGCCATTCAGCCCATAGAGTCCATGCTGCCATTCAACCATGCTGATATATTTCTCAACTGCATTCTGGCTTCTGCCCATAACCCATTACTTCTTTACCAATCAAGAACCTAACTATTGGTCTTAAATACACTCAATAACTTGGCCTCCACAGCCCTTTGTGACAATGAGTTCCAAGGATTCACTACCCTCTGGCTGAAGAAATTCCTCCTCGTCTCAGTTATAAAAGGGTGTCTGTTCTGTCCTCATCTTCTCCACGTTCACCCTATCCAGGCCTCTCTGTATTCTGCAAGTTTCAATCAGATCGCCCCCTCACCTTTTTGAACTCCATTGAGTGCAAACCCAGAGTCCTCAACCAGTCCTCATACGACAAGCCGTTCGTCCCCAGAATCACTCTTGTAAACTTCCTCTGGACCCCTCCAACACCAGCACATCCTTCCTTGCATACGGGGCCCAGAACTGCTCACAATATTACATATGCAGTCTGACCAGAGCCTTGTACGGCCTCAGTAGTACATCCCTGCTCTTGTATCTTCGCCCTCTCAAAATGAATGCTAACTTTGCATTTGCTTTCTTAAAGGCTAACTGAGCCTGCAAGTTAACCTTGAACTAGGACGTCCAAGTCCCTTTGTGCTTCAGATTTCCGGAAAAAAAACTGTTTAAAAGATAATCTACACCCATATACTTCCTACCAAAGTGCATTAACTCACACGTTCCCACATTGTATTCCATCTGCCACTTCCGCCCACTCTCCCAGCCTGTCACCCTGCTATAGGAAGGGTGTTATTAAACCTGAGAGGATGCAGAAAAGATTTATAAGGCTGTTGCCGGGACTGGAGGGTTTGAGCTATAAGGAGAGGCTGAATAGGCTGAGCCTATTTTCCCTGGAGCATCAGAGGCTGAAAGGTGACCTTTATAGAGGTTTATAAAATCAGAAAGGACATAGATAGGGTAACTAGACAAAGTCTTTTTCCAAGGATAGGGAGTCCAAAACTAGAGGGAATAGTTGTAAGATGAGAGGGGAAAGATTTAAAACATACTTGAGGGGTAACTTTTTCATACAGATGGGTGGTTCAGGTATGGAATGAGCTGCCAGAGGAAGTGGAGGCTGGTACAATTACAACATTTAAAAGGCACCTGGATGGGTACATGAATAGGAAGGGTTTAGAGGGATATGAGCCAAATGCTGGAAAATGAGTCCAGATCAGATTGGGATGTCTGGTCGGCGCGGCAGAGTTGGACTAAAGGTCTGTTTCCGTGCTGTATAAGTATTTTTGCGATCTCCCGCTTCTTCAACATTACCTGTCCCTCCACCTATCTTTGTGTCACTGCAAACTTAGCAACAATGCCCTCAGTGCTTTCATCCAGATTGTTCATGTGTAACGTGAATAGTTATGGTCCCAACACTGACCCCTGGGGAGCTTCTCTAGTCACCAGCTGCCAACCTGAAAAAGACCCTTTTATTCCCACTCTCTGCCTTTTGCCAGTCGGCCAATCCTCTAACCATGCCAGTACCTTGCCCCTAACACCATGGGCATTTATCTTATTTAAATGTCTCCTAGTCAAAGGCCTCCTGGAAATTCAAGTAGATTACATCCACAAGCTCTCCTTTGAATAACTTGCTTGTTACCTCTTCAAAGAATTCTAACAGATTTGTCAGGTATGACCCCCCCTTAATGAAGCCATGCTGACTCAGCCCTATTTTACCAGGCACTTCTAAGTACTCTGCAATCTCATCCTTAATAATGGACTCTTAAGATCTTACCAGCGACCGAGCTCAGGCTAACCGCTCTATTGGTTCCTGTCTTCTGCCTCCCTTCTTTCTTAAGCAGGGTATTACATTAACCATTTTCCAGCCCTCTGGAATTCTCCCCGACTCCACTGATTCCTGAAAGATTGCCATCAATTCCTCTACAGTCCCCTCAGCTATTTCCCTCAGAACTCTGGGGTCTAGTCCATCTTGTCTGGGTGATTTATCCACCTTCAGACCTTTCAGCTTCTCCAGCACCTTCTCCTTAGTGATGGGCCACTACACTCATCTCTGCCCCCTGAGTCTCTTAAAGTTCTGATACACTGCTGGTGTCTTCCACTGTGAAAAATAATGCAAAGTACTGATTCAGTTCCTTTGCCATTTCTTTGTTACCCATTAGGAAACATAAAAAGGGAGTTGGTCCGATGGGATGGGCTCATAATCGGGGATTACGACATTTCTGTTTCCTCCCCCCTCTTGAATGTCTCCCTATATCACAGTGCTGTGGTCAGCTTACCCCTCCTCCCTACAGTCCCCACTCTCACCCACACAGGGAGCAAGAATCTCAAACCTGTTAGACAAGCTGAAGGGCAGAGGCTCCTCCAGCACTACCTCCTGGATCCCACTACCTGCCTCACTGTTGCTCACACCCTCCTGTCCCTGACCACTGACCAAATTTGAGGTAGTTAATCTAAGGAGGTGTGACTGCCTCCTGAAACACAGCATCCAGGAAACTCTTCCCCATCCCTGATGTATTGCAGTGTTTGAAGTTCAGACTCGAGCTTATCAACTCTGAGCTGGAGTCCCTCAAGCAACCAACTCTTGCTGCAGATATTGGGGTCCACCAGCTCCCACATCATGCAGTTACAGCACATTGCCTGGCTCAGCATCTCTGTTTTAATTGCAGCAAGCCTTTTATTAACTGACATCTATGGGACCAGGATACAGCTGTTTGATTAAATATTCCGGATAATCAAGAGGTACACACACCTTAGTAAACCCTGACAAAGCAAAGCTTCAAGATCTCAATATCCCCAAAAATATCTATGTAAAAACATCAACATACCTTCTAAAATCAATGTAAAAGCACATGATAAGTAATAGCAACATAATTCAGAGGATATACACATCACTATTATACTTTATTTATAGCATAAATACCCTGATATCATGGTAGATTGCAGTATTTCAAGTACATAATTTTTGCCAGTTTATCAAGAGTGCCAGTTAAAACAAAGTTTGCTGCACTTAGTTCTTAATTTAGTTTTTAAAAAAAATCATATTGGTCTTTCAGTTTATGGCTTATAAATATTTTCCCTATTTGCCTTTAATCTGCAAAGTAACCTATAGTAGACAGTCAAATTAATAGCAATCACCAACCAATTAATTGATGGGTTTTGTATTGGGCCCCTGATCCTGGTCATCAATTTATCCTGTTTAAAAAACACCTTACAAACTATGAACCAAAAACGAGCAAGCAAAAAGCACCTCCTCCTCTGCATCGAATTCCCATGCTACCTACAAATTCCCTGAACTACATGCTCGCACAGTCCATGTCTTAATGTGGATGTAATTTTCCTTCCTGACTGTGCAAATCTTACTGATAGTGCACTTTTAACAGACCCTGTCATAAACTGAGCTGCCTCATACTAGTTAGACATCAATAGTAATTAACACCTGTCAAGGGCTTATTCAGTCCTCAGGTGATTCATTGACCCTCAGTCAGCTGAGTCAGCTACCATCTTAACCTTTTCACTAGACTGCTGAATTCTAAGATTTTTAAAATGGAGAAAGAAAAGATTTACCAGTTCTGTTCCCACATTACCTCCAAATTTCCCGAACTATCAAAAAAATCCAAAGATTGCAGATGCTAGAAATCAAAAACAGAAATTGTTGGAAAAAATTGAAGAAAGCACCCGAAATGTTAACTCTGATTTTTCTTCACAGATCCTGCCAGATCTGCTGAGCTTTTCTAGCAACTTCTGTTTTTGTTCTGGAGAATCTGAAGAAGGGTCACTGGACCCAGAATGTTATCTCTGTTTTTCTCTCCACAGATGCTGCCAGACCTGCTGACTTTTTCCATCAATTTCTGTTTATGTCCCTGTACTATAATACCATAAGACATAGGAGCAGAAATTAGACCATTCGACCCATCGAGTCTGCTCCGCCATTTAATCATGGCTGATAAGTTCCTCAACCCTATTCTCTCGCTTTCTCCCCGTAACCCTTGATCCCCTTGATAATCAAGAACCTATCTATCTCAGTCTTAAATGTACTCAATGACCTGGTCTCCACAGCCTTCTGTGGCAGTGAATTCCATAGATTCACCACTCCCTGGCTGAAGATGTTTCTCCTTATCTCCATTCTAAAAGGTCTTCCCTTTACTCTAAGGCTGTGCCCTCAGGTACTAGACTCTCCTACGAATGGAAGCATCTTCCCATCATCCATTTTGTCCAGGCCATTCAGTATTCTGAAAGTTTCAATTAGATCCCCCCTCATCCTTTGAAACTCCGATGAGTATAGTCCCAGAGTACTCAAACATTCCTCATGTGTTAAGCTATATACACATTCGGGCTGTGTCTCACTCTTGAATGTAATCTCTCCTTCCTGACTGTGTGAAGCTTACTGACTTTCCAAAGGCCAACTGGATGAATACTTGAAAGGAAACCATTTGCAGGGCCATGCAGGGGATGGGTTTGAAAAAGTTAGGTTTGTGTGGGCTAAATGCATTCCCTGCCACGAGTTGTGAGTCTACACTGGAGGGACTGCGATTGTTTTAACAAGAGCTGAGAAGTATAAGAGGATGGAGGCGTTCAAAATCAGCAAGGGTTCAGAGAGTGTGAATAAAGAGAAACAGTTTCTAGTAGCTGAAGGATCAATAACAACGGGGCACGGATTTGAGAGGACTCACCACAGCAGCAGATGCAACATGAAGAGAAACCTTTTACTCAATGGGTAGATTTAGACAGTGTGTTTGGGGAACTGGACAGGCTTTTAATTGTAGCCTGAAAAAGAGATACGGACAAACAGTTGAAGGACAAAGAATGACAGGGTTCTGGGGAAGAGAACTGGGGAGTGGGGCGAATGGGTTGCTCCTTGAAAGAGCCAGAGCAGACTGGTTAGACTGAATGGGCACCTTCTGTGCCAAAATAGACTAGGATTCTATATGAGCTCCTAGCTGGGACTGTTGGCATGACCTTAATGGTACACTCCTACCCCAGGCTTGTTTGTAGGTGGGGCCTTGTGCTAGGTTTGTCAGCCTGCCAACAACTGGGATGAAGCTGCTGGTTCCCCGGGAGTAATCAAAGTCAACGGTTATCGTGGGTGTGGTGGAAATGTTACATCAAACAATATATTCCTCCATCCCATATGTTTTGGGATATTCCCTCTGTTTGGGTCTCCCTTGGGTGTAGCTATCCATTGTTCTGCGCTTGATTATGTGAGTCTGATTAACTGATCTATGCTCAATGTGCTTGATTGGTTAAGACTGGGTGTGGGCTCAGAGGAAAATAGACAATCCGTGGAAGGAGTCAGAGGTCAGAGCTGAAGCTCGGAGTAGACGTTTTAAAGCACTGGAAATAAAACTTGTTACACATATAGAAGCTTGTGCTATTTCATCATAGATCTGAGATGGAAAACATATGACCATTGACAGAGTTAGAGCAGTGTAGGATGAGAGCTGGGGAACCGTCCTCCCTATCTCATTAAACTGCTTACACAGCTTCAGATACTTCCACTAGGGGAGGTCCTGACAGTGTATTGCCATGAACAGAAACCTGGTACAGGGGCTCTTTCTCCCCATGGTGATAATGGTGATGTAGTAGCCAAATAACTGGGCTAGATGTCCAGAGACATGAATTAATGCTCCTGGGGTTCAAATCCTACCAATGCTAATAGAATTTGGAATTGAAAACTAGTCTTGGTGATAGCGACCATGACAACCAGCACTGATTTTTGTAAAAACCTATCTAGTCACCAATGTCCTCTCAGGAAGAAAATCTGCCATCCTTACCCATTCTGGTCTACATGTGACTCGACACCCCCAGTAATGTGATTGACAATTAACTGCCACTCCACTCGCATTTGGAGATGGGCAACAAATGTTGGCCTTGCCATGAAAGAAGATTAAAAGGAAGTATCTGTTTGTTTTGAAACCAAGTGTTAGGTTACAGTCGAATGAAATCTGACAGCCTAAGAGTTACAGGCTTAACACCAACTCACCTGGGTTTGTTTTATTCTTCTCTATTTGCGATCCAGGGACGGATATTTCGAGACCTGAGTCTTCCGGGGGTGAAACCAGCAGAATGCTCTGCCCTGTACTTGGCCATGCTGGCAACAATTGCTTGACTTCACTGCATTGACTGGAGAGCACTGGGACTACAGGGCTATGGCAAAGACCACAATTACTCCAAGAGACAGGTTCACCTTCCAAATAGAAAACTATTTCCAAATAGAAAATCTATTGATATTTCTGGTGTTTTTACAGGATTACTGCAATTTTACAAATATAATGTATATGCAAATAGAATGTGCACCTAGACACTCTTGAATACAAAGACAAGATTCCCATTTCATGCACATGTTAAACTTCACGATGCCACAGCCAAAGTGTTGTTATTTTACCGGGCATAATGGGCAAACTGCGAGTAATACTGCAACTGCAGGGCGTCTTTTGAGAGTGTCACAAGTTTCCTGCACTGTCTGCCTCTTTTATTGTCTTCATTAGATAATATATAAATTGACATCACAGTCTTGCTGCATCTACCTCGGGCATTGGTGAGGCCAGACCCGGAATATTGTCTGTAGTTTTGTTCTCCTTTTCCGAGGAAGGATGCTCTTGCTCTCGAGGGAGGGCAGCAAAGGTTTACCTGGCTGATTCCAGGGATGGCGGGTCTGACATTTGAGGAGAGATTGAATCGGTTAGGATTGTATTCACTGGAGTTTAGAAGAATGGAGTGGGGAAGGGGGCAATGTGTGAGGATCTTATAGAAACCTATAGAATCCTAACAGGACTAGACAGGGTAGATGCAGGAAGGATGTTCCCGATGACCAGGGTGTCCAGAACCAGTGGTCATAGTTTAAAGGTAAAGGGTAAACCTTGTAGGACTGAGATAAGGAGAAATATCTTCGTCCAGAGAGTGGTGAGCATGTAGAATTCACTAAATAGAATGTCGCAGAAGACCAAAACAATGTTCTTTCAAGCTGGAGGTAGATATATGTCCTGTGGCTAAAGGGATTGAGGAATACGTGGGGAGGGCAGGATTAGGGTACTGAGCTTGATGATCAGCCTTGATCGTATTGAATGGCAGAACAGGCTTGAGGGCTGAATGGCCTACTCCTGCTCCTATCTTCTATGTTTCCATGGATTATGAGCATCAAAATGGTCATTCCAGTTAGATTGACATCTGACTGATTACAATGTCAGTTCTGTCCTTTGGTAGATTAAAACCTTGCAATGCCCAAGTGGTTTGGCTTGGAAGAGAACCATCACCAAATGGGTCTTGGAAGAGACTCTAAATGATAACTGTTTTCCTTTGCAACCTCTCTGTTTGCTTGTGAGAGTTTCCAATCTTCTTACTTTTATTTTCATGAAGTGGTGAGATATAGTTCTTAGGGCTAGGAACCAAAAGGTATAGGGAGAAAGTGGGAACAGAGGATTGAGTTACATGATCAGCCATGATCATATTGAATGGCAGAGTAGGCTCGAAGGGGACGAATGGCCTACTCCTGCTCTTATTTTCTATGTTTCAATAGAGTCACAGGCTGAGATTTTCTCTGGGTCTAATAAAAGGACTAAAACTTTGCCTCGGATTGATCCTCGATCCCATACGGGATCAACTGCATTCCCAGTGAGGTCCATGCACTCGCTACAAAAACAAAGCCCACTTTCATTTGTCACCATGAATAATAATACATGCTCTAACTTTGAGATCAAACGTTGAGGCGAAATATGTATATTCTCTTTGGAACATGATAACAATCTCCTTGAAAACGTACTGTTTCACCCTGAACAAGGGTCACTGGACCCGAAATGTAAACTCTGTCTCTCTCTCTCTCTCTCCCCACAGATACTGCCAGGCCTGCTGAGTTTCTGCAATGATTTCTGTTTATTTGTTTCAGATTTCCAGCTTTAATTTACTGCTTCATCTCTCTCTCTTTCTTTCTGAAAATGGTACTGTCGGCAGGGTGGCAGTGGTCATTATATTTCTTCATTAGCAATGTCCTTGGGCGAACTGTGATAGAGAGTCTGAGTTGATGGTGTGGGGATATCTAAACACATGCCACTGGTGTTACCTTCATTAATAATGTTTTGTTTGTGTTTCTGGTCATTGAGCCCCCACTTCTCACCATGGGATCCAGCAGTAACCCCCAACTCATGGTGCTAGTGTCAGGTCTGTCACAGTGGGTAGCACACTCGCTTCTCAATTACAAGCCTCTGGGTTCAAGAGTCCCTCCAAGACTTGAGCACTGAAATCAAGGTTGATGCTCCTCTGTAATACTGAGGGAGTGCTGCACTTTCAGAGGTATTGTCTTTTGGATGAGATCGAGTCATACAGCACGGAAACAGACCCTTTGGTCCATCCAGTCCATGCTGACCATCATCCCAAACTAAACTAGTCCCTAAGGCTTTGGAGTAGATCTGAAGCTCAGGTTGTGGGTGTTGAGGTTGGTTGGCTCACCGAGCTGGTTTGTTGTTTCGCAGACGTTTCGTTACCGTGCTGGGTAGCGTCCTCAGTGCAGCCTCCGATGAAGCGTCGGTGTGTTTTCCCGCCTGGTTTTTAAACTCTGCGGTTCGTTGAGATGGATTGTCTCACTTCCAGTTTTCCTTCGTAGTGGAATGTATATGGGGTCGAGCTCAATGTGTTTATCAATAGCATGCTTCGTGGAGTGCCATGCTTCCAGGAATTCTCGTGCTTGTCTCTGCCTAGCCAGGATCTTGGTGTTGTCCCAGTCGAAGTCGTGGTTCTCCTTGTCCATGTGGATTGAGATGAGTGAGTATTGGTTGTGTCTTTTTGTAGCCAGTTGGTGTTCATGTACTCTTGTTGTTAGTTTCCTTCCTGTTTGTCCGATGTAGTGTTTCTCGCAGTCTCTGCAGGGGATTTTGTAGATGACCTTGGTCCTGTCCATGGCGGGGTGTGGGTCTTTAGTTTGGGTGAGCAGTTGTCGTAGGGTTGATGTGGGCTTGTGTGCTACTCTGATGCCCAGCGGTCATAGGGGTCTTGTGGTGAGTTCTGACGTGTTCCTGATGTAGGGTAGTGTGATGAGTGTGTCGGGGCGTGTAGAATCTTTCTGATGCTGTTCTTGTAGGCATCTTCTGACCCAGTTCTTTGGATATCCATTATCCTTGAACACTTGAAGAGGTATTCTTCTTCATCTTGGCGTAGTTCCATGTTGCTGCAGTGTGTTGTTGCCCTTTTAAATAGTGTTCACACGCAGCTTCGTTTGTGTGTGCTGGGATGGTTACTATTGAGGTTCAATACCTGGTCTCTGTGTGTGGCTTTTCGGTGTACTTTCGTTTGCAGTTCCCCATTTGTCTTGTGCTCTGCCATGACGTCCAGGAAAGGGAGCTGTTTGTTCTTCTCCTCCTCTCAGGTGAATCTTATTCCAGTGAGGGTGTTGTTTATGAGTTTGTGTGTCTCTTCTAATTTGGTCCGTTTAATTATGACAAAGGTGTTGTCTACGTAGCGTATCCATAGTTTAGGTTGGATTTGCGGAAGGGCAGTCCTTTCCAGTCTTTGCATCATTGCTTCTGCTATGAGTCCGGAGATAGGTGATCCCATGGGTGTCCCGTTGATTTGCTCGTATGTTTGGCTGTTGAAGGTGAAGTGGGTGGTCAGGCATAGGCCCAATAGTTTGAGCATGTTGTCCTTGGAGATGGTTTCACTGGGGTTGTGTTCTTGTTCAAGTAGTGTTGTCATTGTTTCCCTTGCTAGTGTTATGTCTATTGATGTGAATAGGGCAGTGACATCAAACAATATCATGGTCTCTTCATCCTCTATCTTTACGTCTTTGATGGAGTTGAGGAATTCTTGGGCTGAGTGGATGGAGTGGGGTGATTTGTTGACTAGGTGCCTGAGTCTTCTTTGTAGTTCTTTGGCTTATCTGTGCGATGGAGTGCCTGGTAGGGAGACTGTGGGTCTGAGGGGGACTTCCGGCTTGTGCACTTTAGGGAAGCCGTAGAATCGGGGTGTGTTGGTTTCTTCGGGTTTCATTTTTAAGAAGGCTGTTTTGTTGATCTGTCCTGTTTGTTTAAGTCTTTGTAGCGTGTAGAGGATTTTGTTGATTAGTTGCGGTGTCGGGTCAGTCTGTAATGGCCGGTATGTGTTCTCGTTGGCGAGCAGTGCTTGTGCTTTGGAGATGTAGTCCCTTTATTCAGTATCACTGTCATGCGCCCTTTGTCTGCAGGTATTATAGTGATGTTCTTGTCCTTCTTTAATCCGTCCAGGGCTTGTCTTTCCCGTGTGTTGAGTTCACTCCTTCTGGTTAGTGCGGGGACTACTATGTGTCTTATGGTTTGTTGTGTTTCTTCGTTGATATTGTTGGTCTTGAGTGTGGCTTCCAGTGTAGCTAGGAATTCCGTTTTGTTGGCGTCCCTGTAGTTGTAGTTCAGTCCTCGGGTGAGAACGGCTTTTTCCATGTTTGTCAGTTTCCTGTCGGAGAGGTTCCTTATCCATGGATACGATTAGAAATGGATATGCTAAGTATGGATGTGATAAGAAATGGATGTGATAAGAAATGGATGTGATAAGAAACGGATGTGATAAGTATGGATATGATAAGTATGGATATGATAAGTATGGATATGATA